TCTCGGACTGCTGCCTTGCAATTATCACAGCTCGGCTGAGCAGATGATTAACATAAGACAACCCTTTGAAGAATTGGTCCGAGGAATCTTGCACACGTTTGGGTCGCCAGAATCTTGGTTTACCATGTAAGTACTTATTTTTAAAGTTGGGTTTATTCAATATTGATCCCTGCTTTTGAGAGATCACCACGTCATGAGTTAATTAGATCCTGTCCGATTAAAAAAATTAATTGTATTGTTTTTTACGAGAAATTTGAAACTCGGGAGCAGGAGGCAGAAGATTACGAGCACCAGACCTCCTCAACACAAAGAAGAAAATAAGAGAGGACGATCGCCAATCACCTCCATCAATAGAGTGCGCCACCCGCTACGAAACAAGTCGTGATTCCGTATATTGTCACTCTCGTGGTCCAAATTCCCTAGCTCTAAAGCCCCATCGGTCATCTTCAACTCGAGTTAATTTGAGGTGAGTTCATCAATTTTTTAAATTAATTTAACACAAAACATCAGATTTCCATTCCTTTTATATATGTATCGAATTAATTCTATGTCTGCCAGTGATGGGGTTTAAATTGAACATATGGATGTCACACTGGATGGCGTATTATAACATTGAATTTGATCATATCTTTAATTTATGGACTTCTTGAAATTTTGTTTGGAACATAAACTTGAATATATTTACTTTTCTTATCTAAAGTAGTGATTAAAACCCATTTAAAATTCTTGTTTTTTAAATTAATTTAGGTCATAATCATGTCGGTTTCTTGAGTTTTGATTTCGAACATAAACTGTGAAAAAACGTTACATCTATGTGACTAGAGCTTATGCAAACCCATATGAAAATCTTGTTGTGTATAATTTGGTCAGAATTTTATGTTGCTTTTGGGAATTTTGGAGTTTTGGAGCATGACATTGAATATTGTTACTTTCATTGACCGGAATTGATGAAAACCATATGGTTCTGAAAATCCAGGCTCAAGTTTCTTGATAATATTTGTGTTTCCTAGATTGAAATTTTTGAAATTGCGTTCGATGAGTGCCTTAATTATGGAATGGTATGAAGACCCCAGCCCTCCCATGTTCTTATACAGCTTAATCATTACCTTGCGTATTCATTTAATTTGTTATACAGTAGTTTAAAAATGTTTCAGTTGGAAAAAGGATTTTTCTGCTTGTTGATTCCATGTAGGACAACCTTGTATTCGGATGTTAGAGTAGAGATCGGAAAATTCCACGACAAAAACCGTTCACTCATTTGGCTACTACTAAAGAGGATGACAATAACGATACCCGACGGACGTGCGATCTGCGTTTGATGAGGATCAATTGCTGTCTGCTTGCTATTACACACCTCCGCTGAGCAGCATATTAACATAAGAAAACCCTTTGAAAAATGTCCAAGGAATCTTGACAACTTGGGTCGCCAGAATCATGTTATCCATTGTAAGTACTATTTTAAGCTTGGTTTATTAGATATTGATTCAACTACTTGAGAGATCACCGGGCGTCACAGTTTAATATAGATCTATCCAATTTAAAAAAAATCAAACGTAATGTTTTGTTACACGGAAATTTGAAACTATGAGCATGATGCAGAACATTGAAGACAGAGTTTCTGTTTCTTTATGGTGCTTCTCGTAAAATTTTTGTCTATTAAATCTTTATTTTTTTCAAGGAGAGATGTTTCAATTTTCTGTTCAAATATCACTAGTATTACCTCGTCCAAGCACGACCCTCCCTCATTTTTACCATGCACTGGAACACCCATCCTCTAGTTTTTAAAAGGGTTCAATTATAACCAATTTTGAAAGGGGAAACACCTTCGAAAAATAACAAAAAACATTATTTGAGGTTTCAACTATAAGTAATAAATTGATTAAATTCGTGAGATAATGGATAGAGCAATATGTTGCTTTTACATGTAATTAAGTCACAATTCCTTAATGTTGTTTGATCTCAATTTTATTTTTATACAAACTGATTTCTACAGCCAGCAACTATGAAGAACTTCAAATGAGTTACATTTGAAAAATAGATGCCTAACAATATTGTATGGTGTAAATATAATAATACTACTCCAACAACTCACACATAATGGCCTAGTAAAACAATACAGCAACAAAACATTAAATATAACATATATTCATGAGTCAGTCACTTGAGTGACAACCAATCATTGACGAAATTTAGAAACTTTAGCTTTTATCTTCATGGTTATACCATCCCTAGCATCATTAACCAAATTTCTAAAGATCAAATAACTACTCAAAACTAAACTAAAATAGCACAATAAAGGTCAATCTTTTCAGTGCATAAATGTGTGAAAATATTTTTTAAAAGTTAAAATTAAAAAGTGAAATAAAATTACTGTTTCATAACTGTGATGAACCGAGTTGACCCTCCGATTCAATCCATCCATCATCATCTCTGACATAATCAATCTCCAATCCCTAACCCACAAACAAACAAAACCCATTAAAACTTAGTAACAAAATCTTCATTAAAAAATCAAAAAAATTACCTAAATCAAGTTTAAAACATAAGGGTTGGGATATGATCAGAATTAGGCACTATTAAGATTAGCTAAATCAAATTTAATCATTATAAATAGAAATTAGCATCTTCACCATGCTAAAAGAAGTAACTAAATAATCTAAAATCCAACAATCTAAGGCGCAAAAAATTAGAATTTAGACCAAATTCATCACCATGATTTATATTTCAATCAATTCATCTAGAAACTAACTTAAAAAAAGTACTTTTTATGCATAAAACCCTAACAAAATAAAATCAGAAAAAGTACCTGTAGTTTTCTTCTTTTCAAAGAGGAAATCTTGAGATAGAAAATTGTGAGCAATTTATGAAGGTCAATCAACAAATCTGAAAATAAAAGACTGATTACTATAAAAGACATACTTTGAAAATTCTTACAGAGAATAGTTAATACAATTCTTATAGTAAATAAGAGAAAGAATGGCAAATTATATTCACATTACAGTCTTCACAATTATACTGATTTATAACACAAATTTTGAATTACTATGGCAACATTTACGTGAGAAGTAGCATTTCATAGTTCCTAAAAAGCTAGAAGCACTACTAATATTATTACAGATTTCAGAAGAAAACTTAGATACAATTCCAACAGTTATCTCTCAATCACTAACTCACATAGCTACTTAGTAACTGAATGTACAAACTGTAACAACCAATTAGTAAATAAAATATAATGAATTGTGATTGGTTAACATCAATCTGTAAGAACCACTTGGGAAGAAACATTTAACATTAGGTTTATTTCCCCTCAACAAAACCTTCGAGTCTAAAAAATTTTAAAGAAATCTAACACAATGATTAAATTGTGAGATCAACCTATTTTGATGGTTCTTAGAATCCTTTATTCTATATAGACCAGCAATTTGAGACTTGGGGACAGCGTTCAACTTCACTTGATATAACGAATTCAAGTATGGCAATTGAAGAATGACCAGTTGAAAATAATAATCAATAAAGCCAAGAGAACTTACCGGCATACATAAAAATAAGCATTTGAAATGATCCAATAATGTATTGAAAAATAATAATAAAGGATATGGAGACAAATATAATGACTTTTAAAAATGTGTAATAATTAACAAATTTAGTTCAAGTGTGTAATAATTTAACCGTAAAAGAAGTTGATACCTGATTGGTTCTTCCATTCTCATCTGAAAATTAGAAAAAGGAAGACAGCTTGTAAAATAACCAAACCAGATTATAAAATCTTTAAAACCTGAAATTAGAAAAGGAGGGGGGGGGGGATATAAGTAAAAGAACCTGAAATAAACCAGTTTATTGTAGTTCCTAAGTAAACTAAGATATATTATTTCTATTCAATATATAGATGGATGTGGAAATGCGGTTAGGTCTCATGTTTATTTAGAGGCAAAACACTACCCTAATCTCGATTGGCCTGAGAATGGAGGAGGAAAGATGATGCATCATGATAGTCTATTAAAAGGTTTTTGAGTAAGTTGATGATGGTTTTTGCATTAAAGGAAGCATAAGATTTGAAAAAAAAGGTTAGAATTCATGGCAATTTCCTATGATTCACCCGCTTTCAGTATTTAACACTATTAGCTGAAATTGTTTCAACCATGCATATGCATTACTTTGATGTTGGAGTTGGGTCTTGCGATATATTCATGATTGATTCTCATACCTGCTACAAAGCTTCTAAAAAATGCAAGCCATAAAGAACATAGAACATTGTCATGCTTATGAAGGGATCAAAGAGAAGCATACAATGCATCATCTGGGTATCAAAATTCTAGTTAACAGAAGTCATGTAAGTCTAATGAGTTGAATCTAACACTACACTGATCAAAGCACAAGTAAGAGTCTTAAGACTAAGAAAACACTTAGCAAGTAGATCTGATATCTTATTAGATTTTCTACTTAAAGATTAGAGTTATAAGTGCATTATTATGAATGTACACAGAAGCTTATTTTTGTAATAAAACTACCAACCAAGTACATTAGAGTTATAAGTGCTTTATTATGAATATACACAGAAACTTATTTTGTAATAAAACTATCAACCAAGTACATGATCACTATAAGACAGTGTATCTTGCAAATCACTAATCCAATGTTAATAGCAAAATGCAACATGGAAGAGAAACTAATTGTGGACCAATTTGAGGAAACACCACAGCAAAATACAAAAGTAATATAACAAAGAAACTTTCATTTTTACCAGATAAATTTTCATGATATTATTATGAAATACCATTATGAAACACTACATCTTTTGCCTTATTTTTCTTGAATCAGATTACATTTGCATCTAAAGCCTAGAAAGCAAGATGTAAAAAATAATTGTGATACGCGAATACTAAGGTAATAGCAAAATAGACCAATATCATAATGAAATACCCAACATTACAAAAGTATAAATAACAGGAAACTATCATTAACAATATTATAGATAAGTAAATTTTAAAGTTTCTGATCCTCATTTAAAATACATGGTGAACATCAAAATTATAAACATGTTCAACAATAAAATTTATTAAAATCAAGAAATTAAGCAAAAATCATAGTAAAAACCATCACCTGAAACTGATCGATACTCTCAATCACTGATTCCATCACGCACGTCATTAGGATGTTGTCATCATAATAATTATTACCTATTAATAATTAAACCAAAAAAAAGAAATACCTCGGATCAGATTTGAATAGAAAAATCTGCATCATGTGTATGTGATGGGGCCAGTGTTATTGGCTCCACGCTCACGGTATGCTTTGGTCATTGTACATGTATAGGCAAGTGATAATCTACTTAAAGGATAAGTTGTAAAGTTGGCTTCATCATATCAGTATTTACAATCATAATACGCTTGTCGAGCATTTCTAGGGCCATTTCAATGATTATGCAGATGTCGTTGATAAGCATGTGGGTAGAGGAAAACATATATATGTTTGAAGACATAACACTAAAGGTTATAATAATGGAACATTTTTAACTTCTTAAGAGAATAGAAAGAAAATTGCTCTAACTGAAAAACATAATCATATTTTAAACACCAAATTTAACAATCCAAGAAAGACTAAATAGTTGCGTCCTAAATTCAACAAAGGATTTTGCTGAAGAAACTCTTTATTAGTTCTCTTCTTTCACTTCTTTGTCGCCAATTTACGAACTGGATCGAAAATAAGCTTATTAATATGAAATCACAATTGAATCTGAATAAACCCGAGCGCAACAGGTAAAATTGATCCCATTTTCAAGTAGATTTGCTACTCACTACACTTTCACGGATCAAATTTTTTTCCTTGAGGCATCAAATGAGCAACTTTTACTGGATTTCATGAACAAAAAATAAATTTCTGCGTGATATACAAATCAAATTGCAAAGCAGGATCTTTTTCGGGAAGTTTTACCTCCGATGCCACTCGCCCTTGTTGGAGAGCGTGGACTGGAGATGCTTGGGGAGATTCTCCCAAGGGCATTCCTCTTTGATCGACTTCAAGATCAACTGCTCCTCGATCGTGGAAGGAATCCGCTGCATCTTCGAGGATTTCTTCTACAATCACCGCATTCGGATCCCGTTAACGAAAATCAAATTGGAAAATAAGTTGAGAAGAGATACCTTGTCGTTTTTGTCTTCGAGGTCTTTGAAGTCAGAATCATCACCAGCACTGCCCTTCTTCGACACGGATTTCAGGAAACCCCGAGCCTCCCGTTTTATTCACGAACCTCCCCCTCGGCGTCCAGTGACACTCATTGGATTTCCGCGGACGCGCCCGCCCGGACACGCGGCCAGTCATCGGCTGAGGCTTCCTAGATCGCCGCATGAGATCCGGCACTCCGTTTGACGAGTCGACGTCCGCGCCGGGCGAGGGCGCTGACCGCCTCGACGCTCCACTTTAAACAAGTCGGCTTGCCCATTGGATTGACGGAATCCGAGCACCCAGAGACTTAACCCGCGTCTTCCATTTTTCCAGCGTTTTTTTGAAGACGATGAATGACGAGCCCGGACTCAAAGGGCTCCCAGCTGGCACGCGAGCGCGGATCACAGGTTTTAGCGTTTTTGGCTTGTAACTTTTTTAGTAGAGATTGATTTCAAATTGCCTGTTTAGCCCAGAGATTCGAACATCTTCAATACCTGTCTCTCATCCATATTTCCCCTGACGCGAAATAATCCGTCCCAGTGGAAGTCCGCGCCCGCCCTCTACAATCAATTACTCTGCTAATCATCAAACATAATTCTTGTATCCTCCCATCTTCGATGCTGTCTTCGACCAACGGCATTCAGGAAACCCCGAGCTCCCCGTCTTTAGTTCAACGAACACCTCCCCCCTCGCGGCGTAGCTGAACTCATTTGATTTCGGCGGAAGCTGCCGGAAACAAGCCTGAGTATCGGCATGAGCGCTTCGCTAAGCATCGCTGAGAGCCTCGGCAATCTGTCTCACGACGACCCCGACGTCGCCCGCGCAGCGCCGCCCGAGGAGCGACCGCCTCGACCGTCATTGAATACAGGTCGCTTCCACTTCGATTTGACTCCGCACGACTCGAGGCCGAGACTTAAGTTTCAATTTATAGCCCGCGCTTTTTTTTGAAAGAGATGAAGACAGGCACTGTGCGCACTTCAAAGGCTCGCTGACGCAGCCGGGGATCAGCCCGTTTTAGCCCGCTTCTGTGACTTTTCCATCTTTTAGTTAGAGATTTGAATTTCAAATTTCTTATCAGCAGAGATTTGCAATTCAATACCTCCTTTCTTCCATTCCTATTTCCATGAGCTGAAATATAATGTCAGTGGAACCCCAGTCGGCGCCCTCTCCCAAATCCCACATTACTCTGCCTAACATTAAAAGTAATTCTTGTTCCCTCCCCATTTCTTTTCTCTCCCTACTCCCAGCAGCGACTATGCGCATATGGACTTGTAGGTGGCTTTGCTGTCGCAGTGTGATTCTTAATCCAACAAGTTAACTTCAACTTCGAACCTGTCGCCCCCTCCTGTTTGCCGAATTCCAATATCGAGATTTGCCGAATCCTGGGCAAACCCTCTACCCCCTCCTCGCCCTCACTCCACTCACTTTACATTCCAGGGACGTAGAATACTCAATATCAGGAATTAATTGCCTGATTTTCGATACACAACACAGGAAACATTTTTTGTCGTAGTCGCGAGTTGCGTTTGCTATTCATCTCTGATTGGAGTCCTTTTGATTTTGGTGGTGTCTTTTGAGTGCACAATAATTAGTCTTGTACGCGTCAATCCGTAATCCCCAGAAAGTAAAGCTTTCTTTTCCTTTCTATTTGCGCACCCGGTGCGCCGTCCGGCGGCTGGGCGGGCTACCCGGAGGCTATTGGAACTTAACAAAGCCCTAATCCCAATTGTCTAACCTCCCTTTGACCTGTGCCTAACCACAAGCTTCTTTTAAAGTCCAGCGAAACCGCCACCATTAACCATAAATAACATACCTCCATCTACTCCCATAACTATTCCCACCCAATAATGCTTTTTGATGCGACACTCTCTCCATAGACGCCCATCTTACATAACTTTAAATATCCACGAGGTACAACGTCCGAGAAACCTTCGAACAAAACCCCATGCCTCATACCCCCCTCTTTTCTCTTCTTTTTCGTTCATCACCATTCTTTTCCCTTTTTCTGTTGTATCAGCCCACTGTTCACCAGCAAGACTCACGCGAAAAAAAAATGAAAATCCGAGAAAAACAAACCTTATACTCCCAACCTATAACACTAGTACTGACCCCGTGCCAACGCACATCCGGCACTTATTTTTTCCTCACCCTTGTATTCTTAAATTTATATTGTCTCTCTAAGTTCTAATACACATTATAATGTGATTATTGTATACGTTAAAATAAAAAATGTATAAATCTTTAGGTTTAAAAAAAACTATGTTACACAAAATAATTGTCATCTTGATGCTCTGCTACACCCTGCCCCCCTAAAGAACTATAAGTCAACTCTCCAAATTTCCTAGCTTTAAGCAAATATCAAAAATTCTAACTATATTACCTATAATTGCCCGAATATCTCTTTCTAAAGTTTTGTCAATGGCAAAATTTTGCAACCAATTACTATTCAAGAGGTTAATTTATTTTCTATCTCGAGAGAGAGTTGTTTTGGAAAAGTAAAGTAGCTTAAATTGGTATTGATATTATCTAATTCTTCATCTTCCATTTTTCTTGTTCTACAAAAGAAAGTAAGTCTTTATATTTATAAATTCTCTTTTAAGTTGAAATTCCTATGCAATTTATTAATAGTTATTTGTGAACTTGTCCCTTTCTTTCGTTGTTATTATCCACATTTTTCAATATAACACTGTTTAGAAGGTTTAAATGAGTATGTGAATAAATGAGTAGTATGTGAATAAAAATATTGATGGTTACTTGTGTAGTGACATGAATACATTACATACAGGTCTCTTCAGATGAGGATAAAATTAGTATGTGAAGTACATGTTCTGGTATTGGTTCTTTTTGTTTGAGCTTAATGACGGATGGCTTTCTTTGGTACTCAATTCTGGTATGGGTTCTTTTTATTTATGTTTATTAGATGGGAAATGATGATGATAACAAACTGAGAATGCATCCTATATTAATTATGTAATGTTTAGGCGAGGTAATTTTGTGTGGAATGCAATCTACATTGATATTATAATGTTTGGCTGAGGTAATCCCTCAGAAGAGTAGCCTACATTGCATTCATCAGTTTATACAAAATGGCAATCTTTTATGACCGAATCTATTTAACTATCCTGAGCCCTAGTAAGTAAATTCATGGATTATTGGCTGCTGATTTCGAACTTGTTTAGTCCTATTTTGTGTAGGATACGGTGCATATATTTGAGCTCTGTTTGAGTCCGTGGTGCTATTTTGATGTTATCTGCTGCATTTCGGGCTTGTTTAACTCGTATTTTTGATGTAAATTAGGTTCCGGTTCTGGGCTCTATATGGAGGTTCGGTGTGATTTTAATTTTTCATGCTGAATTCGAGTTTAGTTAGCTTATTTTTATGTCGGGAATCTTGGTGTTATTTTTAGTTCGGTGCTGTTTTTTATTGAGGCCTAAAATACCCAAATTGGCTATATTATATACGAACGCTTTGCCAATTTAGTTATTTTATAAAAACTCCGACCGACGACAAGACATTAAACCTCGCTTTTTTTGGTCAATAAGGCACGTGTTTCTCAAAACTCCGACGAGCAGAAATTTTGTTATCTAAACACACTTACCTCCCAAAATATAATTAAATTTGGCCCACAACTATCAAAACAAATCATTTCCCCTCCCTCTCCCCCAAATTCATCCCCTCTCCCCCCCTCCTCTTCCTCATTGTTGTCATCAAACATCCTCCTACTCCCATCACTCATCCCCAACCGTAGAAAAGCCAGGTACAGCTGGAGCAGTTTGAAGATGGCGTTCGTTGAGCCCCAACGGAAGCCCTTTGACGGAGGCCGAGGACGGATCCTCACTCGTCAGGGAAGTTCTTGACGCAGAGTGACCAAGGCGCCCTTCGGTGTTGGGAGAACGACTGGGAGTTCCGGCCGCCGCACTGCCAGATGTAGACGTACATCTGCACAGACGACGGGCGCGAGATGAATGTGGCCGGTGATGCTGATGGTAGATCATGAGGTAGACCGAAGAGATTCATGGCGGAGCGAAATCGAGAGAAACGACCAGGGAGCGTGTGACCTCGTTGATGTAGGCCCGGAAGAGGACGCCCACGTTGCATGCCGAGGTCCTTAAAGAAGCTGAGGGTGTGCAGGGTCTGTTGGTTGTAGTGAGAGGAGAACTTTATGTCCTTTGGAGTACGATGCTGAAGATGTAACGGTGAAGCGCCGGATGCCGACAATCAATGAACAAGCAAGTGAAGAACCATGAAGAGGCGGCTCAGAACGACTTGGCGGGCGGAAGGCCAGGGTCTCAAGGCCGCCCAGCCACGGCTGCCCTGTTTACTCCGGTGACAACCATAGGCGGTTTGCTCTTGCTTAACTGGCTGGCTGCAAATACTGTTGTGGGGATTAGAAGGGAGCCTCAGTGAGAGCGCTTCATAATCATACTCATCTTTGGCATTCATTGAGCACCAACAGCTGCCATCCCCAAACCTGCCACATTTACCATATAACTCAATGAGCTTCATTTTCACAAGCCTGTCAAGCGCAAAACCATATTTTATGACCTGGTTATGTATCTGTTTTACTTCACTTAGGGAGAGACTTCTATGATAGAAGTTAGCTAATAGAGGAGGAGGGGAGGGTGGGGAGAGGGATGGAGTTGGAGGGGGAAGGGGAGGAGGAGGAGGAGGACGTTGACGACGGCGATGAGGAAGAGGGAGGGGATGAATTTGTTTTGATAGTTGTGGGCACAAATTTAATAATTTTGGGAGACAAGGGGTTTAAAACAAAATTTCTCGCCGGAGTTTTGAGAAAAGTGCCTTATTGACAAAAAGGACGAGCTTTAATGCATTGTCGTCGCCGGAGTTTTTTAAAATACCAAACTGGCAAAAGCGTTCGTATAAATATACCAATTTGGTATTTTAGCCGTTTTTTATGTGATCATGCTGATTTCGAGCTTGTTTAGCTCTGTACTTTGTATAAATAGGTTCAATTATGAGCTCTGTTTGAGCTGGTGTTGCTGTTTTTGTTATACTCAAGCTGATTTCGAGCTTGTTTAGCTCTATGTTGTGTGGAATAGGTGCTATTTTTGATATTTTGATGCTGATTTCAATCTTGTTTAGCTCTATTTTGTGATACTTTTAGTTTAGTTTATTGCTCTATTTTTGATGTGATCATGCTTTATAATTTTAATTGTAAAATAATAATATGTAATTAAAACTAAGAGGAGGGGTGTTCCAAGTGCAATGGTAGAAAAGAGGCAAGGGCCGTGCTTTGCACGGGGTGCTAAAATTCAGTCTATCTCCTTAGTTAGCGACTACATGAATATGTAACTAATACCAGTTATAACATGTTTGCTATGGCAAATTTCATAAAAATACCCTTGTTATGTGTCAGAAGTATCCTCACAGAGATATATCACATATTGATGTTAAAATGTTTTCTAGGTGTACCTCTTCAAATGCCCAGTCATCTTGTTGGTCATGGGAATCACCAGCCTTCGGAGACCATATGAAGTCTTCTATCATACCAGTAAACTTGTTTATCTTATCTCCCAATACAGCTAACTCCCTCCATCCTCTCTGCCCCACGCATCATCTCCTCCATTCTGAAACAAAGACAAATAAACGCATGCATGACATGCATTTTAGCTTTGAACAACCAAAAATTCTCCTTTGATGTAGCTACTGAATGAGGCATAACATTGTTCCAAGTTATAAAAAAGTGGAAATGAAAACCAAAAGTAAAAATGGAATACCTGAAGAAAGATTTTTGGATAGAAACAC